TTAAAATTAAAACCTTGCTTTCTTACCGATCTATTCATGTACAGGACCGGTAACTCTCTTAATTTAAAAATACAATATACAGTGCCGTTATACATGTCTATTTGAAGTCCCCACCCGAAAAGAAAGAAATAGCCCAACTCCAAGATAATATATTCCTGCATCACGTAATTTTTACCACGTGGTAAAAATGAGCTTACATTAGAATAAATACCGAATATGGAGAGTGAAACTACAATTCAAAACTAAAAGTCCTGAGGCACCTAGAAGAAAAATTAGGTTTTTTTTTGGCAAAGGGTGCCGGGATTACCCTCTCTGTGTCCAAAATATCCATGAAATATTTGCCACTGCACCTTGTCTGTTCTATGAATTTTAACCCTGATTTTTCTATCTGTTACATGCCAAGAAATCCTCGCTCAAAACTCCGGTAGACCTCCTACGGCAACCATTAGTAGTTAAATATTTGATTTCATTCAACAAATTAATGTATGACCTGCAAGTACGTGTCGCTTAGAACACAGCCATATACCAAATGGTTAATATTAATCATCCGTGTAATTTGCTCTATGGCATATATTTGCAAAATTTCAACGGAGGCAATTTCTTGGCATGACAGGGATACAGGCGGTCCTCTCTATTTGGTAAATGACGTCTTAAAGGCGCGCACAATTGACAAACTTTTCCAGTGTAGGACATTACTCGAAAATGGTCTATTGGTTATCCCGTATTAACAAATCAAACTAACCCCTTAATGAGGAAGAAGTAACGATAGACGTAAACAAAGGAGAGAAGATACCATAGGAACTGTAAAAAATAGTAAGAAGAAGAAACACGCATGTATAATTTATACACAGCTACTTTAGTACAAGCAATCTTGGCATAAGATGCATACAAATTGTATACCGGTATAGATGCATATAAACTGTACATCTGCGCAGCTGTATATTAAATGTACATCTGTTGAGATGCATAATTGCGTTGAAATACGAGCCTCGCTTTTCGTCCTGTTTCTAAGGCTCGTACAAATAAATTTGATATTTTCCGACCACGTGCATTAAATGTTTTTATCCTGCAATTTACACGCGGCACATGAGCTTTAGTTGTTTAAATCCAAATCATTGTCTCTGATTTTCAAAACCGACATAGTTTAAACACGGAACGCGAAGAGGACTCAAAAATGAACTGTTACCCAGAAAGAAATATCTTCATTACCGTTTGCTCAACATGGAAGCGGATAACAGGAGACAAAGCAAAACAAATTTTGTGTACCTGATATTTGTACAATAGTTGGCTGATTGCAGGATATAACTGTACATCTGTAAAATTGTATATGAACTGCATATCTGTAAAGAGTTTATATGCATCTTTAAAGATGTATACATATTAGATACATCTTTTAAAACAGATGCACAGTCAGTTTACATGTTTTTCAACAAAAGTACAGTTTATACGCATCTCAACAAATATACAGTTCATATGCATATCAACAAATGTACAGTTTATATGCCTCTTAACAAATGTACAGTTTATATGCCTTTTAACAAATGTACAGTTTATATGCCTCTCAACAAATGTACAGTTTATATATGCCTCTTAACAAATGTACAGTTTATATATATGCCTCTTAACACATGCACAGTTATATATGCCTCTCAACAAATGTACAGTTTATATACATCTCAACTGATGTACATTTGTTACTAAATATGCATCTTTTAAAACATCAATATTGCCTATACTAAAGAAGCTGATGGTGGGTGTCTGATGCTGTGTTCTGAGATGAGGGAAATGAATATCAGAATTATTCCAATTTGTGACAGAAATGAGAAGGGCTATACATGGTGTTGGTTTATGTTTTTTATTGTTTTGTTTGTTGTTTTTGTTGCTTTCTTTTAAGCGAGTCAGTTACTGGTACTTTTTGCAGATTGCGATGCTGTTCAATAATTGTAGTGATTTAAAACAAGATATATATAAGAAAAAAAATGAATTTACCCTGTTTTAAGGGAGGTCCAAACAGAAGTCTTTTCCGTTTAATATTGCCTCCTAAAGGTTATGTTTATATTCTAACGCTTCAGCTGATTACACATGAACTGGTTAAACTATCTTAACCATGTATTGTTATGTTGTTGAATTACAATGAAGTATAAAGACTTCACAGTTAGCACCCTTATTTCATCGCGATAGATATTTTTGAAGGAGACAAAATAAGAAAAAATGTAAAGCTAATTGAACTAGAAAAGTAATTGGATATTCAACAAGCAAAGGTGCCAATGGAAACAAATTTCAAATAAAATTGCCAATTATAAAATGTTATAATACCTCGAAATATATCTACTTTATATTGAAATAAAGCGTCTACTTGTATAGTCTATTACACGTCGTACACATATCTAATCTTTACTAGACAATGGCAGTAGACATGCTGGTGATCTCCCCGATAGACTGTGGCATTACAGGGGTAAAACTCCTTTAATGCCGTAGCCACTATGAATATCTATGTTAAGGATTCACTGGGAGAGGTGATAAAGAGGAATGAGTAAGTGAACGAAAAAGATATTGAATGAGTGAACAGATGACAATATGAGAGCGAGTCTTTGAGTGCGACTGAGTGAACTAGAGTGAGTTTTAAAGAGACAGTGGGTGAGTAATCGACAGATTATGTGTGGAAGTGAGTGAACGATAGAGGGACAATGACATAACTATTGTCACTGACTGAACGAGAGAGTGAGTGGAACGGACGGACTGAGTGAACAAGTGAGTGAACGAGAGTGACTGGAAGAGGGAATGAGTGATCGAGACAGCGAGTGATCAAATAAGAGAGTGAGTGAACGTGAGTGAGGGACTAAATGCGAATGAGTGAGTGAACGAGACTGGAGTGACTGAGTGAGAGAGTGGGTGAACGCGAGTGGAAGAGAGTCATAGAGAGAGAGAGTAAGTTGAAGAGGGAAAGAGAGAGTAAGTGGTTGAACGAGAGAAACTGAATGAATGCGAGTGAGTGAGTAAACGAGACAGTGATCGAGTGGAATGAACAGTTAGTTGGTGAACGAAATGAAAGATTGAGAGAAAGAGAGTGTGAATAAACGAGACAGGGTGAGTGAACGAGAAAGTGAGTGAGTGAACGAGAACGAATGAGTGAGTGGCTGGAAGAGAGTGAGTGATTGAACGAGAGAGTAACACGGTGAACGAGAGAGATTGTGTGAACGAGACAGTGAGTGAGCGGAAGAAACAGTGAGTGGGTGAATGAGAAAGAGTGACTGACTGGTGAGTGAACGAGAGAGAGTGAATGAACGAGTGAGTCAGTGAGTATAGAAGAGACAGAGAATGAGTGAACAAGACAGATACAAAATATACATCATTGGCTATAGGAATAGGGGGAGGGTTGAGATCTCACAAAACGATTTTTACCCTGCCGCAGTTTTGCGCCTGCCACAAGTTATGAACATCTAGCCTTTGTAAGTCTTGTGTGTTTTAAAAAAGAATGGTTCATTTGTATGTTTCGCCCGGGAGTTTTGTGTGGTGTCACATTTCGCTGAACTAGTATACCCGTATTGTTTATGGGCCGGCTAAAGCCCGCCTTCAGGTGCGGAATTTTTCGCTGCGTTGAAGACCCATTGGTGGCTTTGGGCTGTTTTCTTCTCCTTGGTCGGGTTGTTGTCTCTTTGACACATTCCATGTTTCCTTTCATGTTTCCATTCTCTATTTTATCTTTACATTTTATAGATGTGCATCTTAATCGGTTTACAGTTTATATGCATCTTACTAAATGTACATCAAGATTGCTTGTACTACAGTAGCTGTGTAGTAGCTGTGTATGCGTGAAACTGGTCTATAATAATTCATATTTTTGAGTTATCAAGAGTGTATAAATATTTTTGGGCGAAGAAGCATCTGTCTTAGTTTTCAGACATTGGTATTACCACATCCAAATGCATGCCTACGATACTCCATCATCTAACACTTTCTTAAGTGTACGTTGCTATAACAGGTGCATACAAAGTGTCTTTTAATCACAAAATTATTTAGATGTATCATTTTGGATCATAAAAACCTTCAAATTGCAGTTTTACACTTGTTATGTCATGACCCCGTTAACAGAAACCAATTAATGTAAATAATTTAATAAACTTTATAAAAACGAAGTTGTTTTTTTAACACAAAATTGCACTGGAAAAACTCTTTACATCTGTCACTAGTATCTCCGTCCTTGAAAACGCACAGGTGATGAAATCAATGCTGTTTGTAATTTGCGATAACGACTTTGAATATTTGAATATGTTTAAATATGATTGGGTGTTTACTAAATTTATAAAACTGAAGTAAACTTATATATGAATTCAACACGAGTGTAATTGATTCCAAGCATAAGAAGTCCTTGCTAATATCAAGTAATCAGGACATTTTTAAGACCACGAAGCATATTAACTTACGAATTAAATGCCTCTTTTTGTCTTCCGTCGTATTACAAGCCAAAACTAGAGTTAAGCTGACAATAAGCAAATAAAATAGCGAAGATATGCATTACTTCGGCTAGAAGCTAAGGTTTAAACTTTCTTAAAATACACAGTAATTTTATTTGGGTGTTAGAGCATTGACCGATTATTATGGAGCCACTCTAAAATTGAGGCACAATCAACGCTTTTACAACTGACATTGTCAAGGGAAGTGCTGTCAGGAATGTTAAATTTTGTTTGGAAATAAAATCTTAGATATTGAATGCATATCGATTGTTGTTAGCCAATCAAAAGTACGGATTCTTATTCAACATACATTTAATAGGACCAAAGGATTCATTCGCAGACATATTGTTGTTTGATACTTTTTCTTCTAACAGAATGCCCCAGGACTTTATGTGCTGGCTTGTATATTTAATTTAGAACATCATATACATTAAATTCTTTACGGTCAGAGAAATTGATGATAAAACAGTGTGAAATATTTTTCAAGAGCTTATGATAAATATTTCAAATCTTTTTATATCTCTTTTAACTTATATTATATTTCAGGTGAATAAACTACCGTATTCGAGGCAAAGTGTTGTAAAACAGATAACCTTGCTGATCATACAGACTCATCATCGCTTACAGCAATCAAGCTTATATACATTAGTATTACCGAACTCAGGGATACATAGAAGTCATAGAAGCAATCACGCTTTCAGGATTAGCTTGTAACGGATAACCAACTAGGGGAAACAGAAGGTATGTACATTTTGCTATATTTAAACCACAAGTTCAGTACTCTCTCGCTGAATTTTGTTGCAACAACAATTTTATCCACCCAGGATTTTTTTTTTACAAATTTACTACATCTACCGTTAGACTGCAGTAGTTCTCAGGATCTTCCATCAATTTTCATGTACTTTAACGGGAGAGAAAAATGTTGGAATTTAAAATAAAATAGTTATTTTAACTTTGGTGTAACAGTTTCAAGTTTGTATGAAATAACTATGAAATTAAGGTCTGCAATTTTGTATTTAGTGTGAAGAATGTAGTATTCATAGGAAAAAGACAAATGAGATCCTCCAGAATCGATAGGACATATAACGAATTAAAAAAAAACAAAGACTAAAGCATAACTTTAATATATTTTGAATAACTTTGTGTTTTTAATTCCTTTGTTTGAGTTGGTGGTCCCACTGTTGGTAGCTGCGTTGGGCAGGTTTTTATTTAAATATGGAACGAGATATGGTATGTAGGCAAAGGAAAAGTTTCATTTTAATTCTTTCTTTTTATTAAGAGTAAAACTCGATTTAGAATAGTACTTAAAATTTAGGACGAGGATTGTATGTACATAATACGATACCATTACTAGTACAACATAAAATGTCATCTCAATTTAAAAATAAAGGGGTTGTCCCAACTTTATAACAAAAGCAAATCTTCTTTATCAAGTCAAATTTTCATCAAAATCAAAGGTTCTTGAGTCTCTTCTTGTCAGAACTTGGAACATTGAACATTCGATAATTATACAAAAAAAATCAAGTAATGAAAATTCAACAATGTTTCTGTTATTTTCTGTATTATTGTGTCAAAATATGTTATACAAGCTGACAGGAACATTCGGTTACCATTGCTTTTTATGTAGCTATAAAAGCAATGATGAAGGGTGCCAAACCAATTTAAAACTACTAATTAACTATCGCTAATATATAAATAGCGATATGTTCTGACAACTTACAATGGTTCATTGCAACAAATACACTATCTGTTTAATATAACCCGCAGATCATGGTAATGTTTCGAAACTAATAGACGGTAGTAAATACCTATGGGACAGGTATTTAGAGTGCAAAGTAAGGATATTTACTCTGGAACATGCAAGAAATGGCATCAGTGGTTATCTGATAGCAGCTTTATTTAATTTGATAGTTTAGCACCCTCCATTGGTCACTTAATTGAGTACTTATTGGTAAATCGGCTTATAGCAATTTCAGCAATATTCGATGTTTGTTATAATAAGCTTCTACAGTCGCGGTGATAGAAATTCTATTGTGCTTTGAATAGTCAATTTTCAAAAGAAATTAAATAGACATTAAATAGGCCGTACGGTGACCTATAGTTGTTAACTTCTATGTCATTTGGCCTCTGGTGGAGAGTTGTTTCATTGGCAATTATACCACATCTCCTTATTTTTCATATAAACCCATGTCTTAAGACAATAAAATAGAAAACATTATGTAGCAGACTTTTCGTGGAAAACATTAAAATGTTAATCTGCAGTCTATATATCCAGCCTAAGATAGAAGGGTGTATTACGTTTTATTGTCTGTGCGTCCGACCATTTATCCGTCTACTTTTAGGTGAAAGTTTGCGTTAAGGTTTGCTATGAAGTTGTGGTCACACCAACTTGAACTGATTTAGAACATTCTGAAGTATATGCTGGTTGACCGTGATTTTACTGAAAATTGAAAGAAAACTTGAGCAGGGGTATGGTGTCATCAGAGCAGGGGTATGGTGTCATAAGAGCAGGGGTATGGTGTCATAAGAGCAGGGATATGGTGTCATAAAGACACATATTCTTGTTGTAGCTGTTAAAGATTAAAAATTACAGTCTTTTTGTCCTCGGTGGGATATATCCCGTCTCGTAATTAATGCAAATCCACAGCTAATCATTTCTAAAACAAAAAACAAACTGGGTTAATTTGGGAACATTGGCGCACATTTTCATTATTTGAAAAAAAAAAATACTGACGAATATTAGATTTTGTACTAGTAGTTGTTTTTGTTTGCCCTTATGAAGGTCACCAAAGATATGCATGCACTTGATTGATTTTGATTCGTCTTTGTCCAGTATTTTTGAAAAATGTACTTGCATACATACTTTTTGGTTAGTTTATCCGTGGAAAGTTTTCGTGAATAAAATTAAATTTCGAGTTAGAGACAACACCCCAACGTCAAAAATTAAAGTACTGTTTTTAACCATAGACCAACCAGTGTCTTCACATAATATATACATGTATCAAGCTGTAAGTCTTTCCCATTCTAAAAAATGGAATAAATTATTGAGTACAAAAGCTTAATCAAGAGGAATAGAATTTCTTTATTAATTCATTTTGTAGAAGGTGGTCAGTTTGTCTATGTTTTCGTCATATATTCTTAGGTCATTACCGCTCCAACCTTTTCAAGATAACACTATCTGAAACAAACAAGGAAGAGAGCATATTATTTGTGACAAAATGCCAGTTTTAATACTTTCATCATGTGCACCCACGTGTAATATAGAATTAACTGTGAAGTTAATCATTTATCGACAGCCATCCACTACAACCATTCGTATATAATCAGATGGATCTTTGGCATTATGATGCTTTAGAAATAGTTATTCTCTAAATATATCATAGATTTACAAAATCAAAACATAATTTTTGGATTATATAGTTTTCATCATTGTAAGTATCGTAATTCAGTCTAACTTTTATTCTCATTTCTCCTGCTATTTTTAATAATAATTGTGTTCTACAATATATATTGGTCAAATGCTTATAAACTTATAAAAAGACTCGTTGTAATCTGGAATATTAGTTTAGAATTCTTCTTGGAAGCAGCCTTCCTTGAAATAGTGTTTTGATACTGAAATGATCTGATCTGACCAAATTTTGAATTTAAGAGATACTATTAAAGACTTGTCATCAATACCATATTTCCAAAATGTCAAAATTACACTATTTTGAAATTACACTATTTTGACGGTTCTTTGAGGAGACGGTCTAAGATTTAAATTCAGTTTTAACACATTCGTTTTTACTTTGCCATATATCGTTTTCATGAAATTTTCGTGTTTTTTTTATATTGGACATGTCATACTTTGACTTTTTAAAAACATTTTGAATTTTAACTGATGTGAAGGTTTGTTGTATAAGATATTAGTTGAAATGTGTATATTGATGCTTTGTGCCATTTTATTTTACGCTTCTCTTGGTTTTTTTAGGGGTGGGATGGTAGTATAATTCTTGCTGTAAGAATTAAAATCCGTGTTCAATACAGAAATTAATTTTACCTTCTAGAAGATATGAAAATTTCCCTTGCGGAATGTACGATTTAATGTTTTTTTAAGAATACTTGTGAAATTAAATTAAATGCTTAATAGTCAAAACTATGACTGAATTATCATATGTATGACACCGAGAGATGTTCTCCATCAGGTAAGCGCCAAGTAACAAAGCCAAAAACATCAAACGTTTAAAGCATCAAAGCCCGAAGTGTAAACCTTGTCACCAACAACTTTAGTTTTCAATATATTTTTTGAACTGCAATGTTAACGGCTATACATTGTTTTTTGGATATTTGTTATATCGTTAATATTCATTTTAATAAGTCTATTGTTTTGACATTTTTATAATAAGTCATGTAGGTTTCAGGACATCTCTGATAGGTACTCGCAAAGACCTCTGTAGCAAAGTTTGAAAACAAAAGTTGAACAGACTTTGTACAAACTGAATATAAAAATAAGAAGATGTGGTATGATTGCCAATGAGACAACTCTCCACAAGAGACCAAAAGACACGGAAATTTGAAGCACCCTTTAATCATATATATCTACTTAATATTCTCTTCCATGTGGAAAAAATTAAAACAAATTAAGCTTTGTCAATCAACACGTCACATCACAAGGTGAAGCCAAAGAAATAATGTGCTGTACAACAGAGCAATTTTGTGTTATTGAATCTTTCGATAATTTACTCTCATTTCTGTAATATCAATCATTTGAAGCACCTGTTAATTACATTTAAGTAGCATCATCAATTCAGTTATGGCGGATAAGAGACTTTGCCATATGTTAATAAATATGTCCAAAAGTTGGATCATCGTCAGTGGTTGTCGTTGTTTCTTAGTATTTTAGTCCATTAAGGGATGTGGTTTAGTCCCTGTTGAATTCATAACTTGCTTAGACTCGGAGCGGTTATTAAACTCTATATGTCATTTTCTGTCTCACAGGTTTAATGGTTACTTTTATAAGGGTATATTTCATTCCCCCTTTAGGGAGCTACCATTTGATTTTTATGGGGGGGGGGGGGGGGGGGGGGGGGGGGCTAGGATGAAATTTGACAAAAATAGGCAGGACAGGAGTTTTGAGTAAAAAAAAAGGCAGGATGAGACACTTGCAAAAAAAAAGTCAGGATGACAATTTAGGTAAAAAAAAAGTCAGGATAAACTTTAAAAAAAAAGCAGGACCGAATAGAGTGAAAAATAAAAAGGCAGGACAGAGATTACAACTAAAAAAAAGCAGGACACAATTTGTCATCCTAGCCCCCCCCCCCCCCATAAAAATCAAATGGTAGCTCCCTTATTCATGTTAAAGAGACGCTGATCTGTCGTATTAATACTAAAGATCATATGCTCTTTGTGATTTCGATAAAGTTAAAGAAATCATGTCACAGATCGATAGCACCCAATAATTACATGCTTCGGCATGATTATTTTCATATATATGCATTAGGTGTATTTATTTCACAATTGAAGCAGTCGCAATGCAATGTGACGTGGCGTTATTCAGTATGTGTTCGACGTGTTCACAGGTGCATCTTTGTTTATTGTAAATTTTCATTATAATGAGCGAAAAAACATAAATAGAAAACAGAATGGAATACTCTATCTGCAGGGTACATTTTTTCATTAAAATGAACGCATGTTTGTTTCATGACGAAGTTTTAATTATTGTAGGCGGTTTACAATTTAAAATACTGTCTGGCATGAAAATT